GTGCAAGGACCGGGAAGATACGGATTCCATCATGGAAGCCTGTGACCCTCTCCAGCCCTCCTGTGAGGTGCAGGGATGTTTTCCCTGCAAACAAGATGGCTTTGCTCTCACAGTGGCACTAACACATGCTGGGCAGGTCCCCGGGAATGTCCGCTAAATGAAAAGGTTTGTTTTACATCTTTCGGCAAACATTTGCTTTGCCTTCCTGTTATCTTAGAGGGTGGGTAAGCCCAGTGAGCACAGCAGAAAGGGAAATAGGCACTGAGTGTGGCTACAGAAATGCCAGAGTTCAGCAAGTTGATTGGGAAAGCAACTTTTCAGGAGCGGGTCCTACTGGGTTGGAATACTTTCAAGGCTCCTACCTCTGAACAGTAAAATGACCTTCTAAAAGACTCTAGGAAGGATTAGGAGTCACCAGTAATATACAACCAGGGTTACCAAACTCCCATCAGCAACTACTGGGATGTTGGGAAAGTCGTGACACATTTCTAGAAAAACACGGAAAAATGTCATGACTTTCCTGATGACCTAATATTATAATTTTTAAAATAAAGTTTTATAACATTACATACAGACTGGTACCTTGAGAATGGTTTAATTAGCATTTCTTTTACTGTAAGTTAAAAAATGAATATTTTCCGCCTAGAAGTTGCATACTAATATTTCCTCTGTAAACAGGGACTAACAGTCCATGCTCATTTTCCCACGAAGGACGTAATATCTTCCTAACAAATAGGAATGAGCTTGGGGCACATCCAGATGGACTCCCCACACCTCACTCACCCAGATAAGGGCCAAGTTACTTTCAAGTTTGCTGATTTCTTTTCTTTTCTTTTCTTTTCTTTTTTTTTTTTTTTGAGAGTTTTTTTTTGCTATAGGGTGCCTGCGCTCACCAGAAAGACAGAGAGAGACAGAGAGACAGAAAGTGAGAAATCATCTCCCAGGGGGGATGGTCACGCCGCAATCCCTTCTCCTCCATTCTCCTCTCGGGATCTTGGGCACGCACGCACACGCGCCCGGCGTGAGTTTTAAGCCACTGGGTCCGGGACGCGAACCGCGGTCGACTACGTGGGAGTCCAGCGACATAGCCATTACGCTAACTGCTGGTTCCTGACATTTGATAATTTCTGACTCTCTCTCTCAGAACATCCACTGGTTTCTTTCATAATGACACTCATTAAACTATCACTTCTTTTTTTTTTTTTTGGAGAGTTTTCGCTATAGGGCGCGTGCGCTTGCCAGATAGACAGAGAGAGACAGAGTGACAGAAAGCGAGAAATCACCCCCCAGGGGGGACGGTCACGCCACAATCCCTTCTCCTCCATTCTCCTCTTGGGATCTTGGGCATGCACGCACACGCGCCCGGCGTGAGTTTTAAGCCACTGGGTCCGGGACGCGAACCGCGGTCGACTACGTGGGAGTCCAGCGACATAGCCATTATGCCAACTGCTGGTTCCCTAAACTATCACTTCTAATCCTACACTACCAGAGATATGCAATACGGCTTAAGTGAATGTGTGTGTATATATATATATATGCAACATATTTTCAATGTAGACTATCAAATGTATATAAATAAATAAGATTTTTTTAAAAATCACCTGAAATTCCACCACTTGGAGAAAACTCAGAGTTACATTTTGGGATAAATCCTATCAGACTTTTTCAACGCATATAGCTTGGCATAGTATCTGGCCTCTTTTGCCTCACAGTCTGCTGCAGCCATCTTTTCAAACCACTGTGGAGATGCCTGGAGGCGTGCCCACGGCATCGCTCTTGCTGGCTGTGTAGGGCTCCATCATCTAGAATCACCAATAACTCACTCAATTCCTTTCCTTGGGACTGGCGCTATTAGAAACAATGTGCAATGAACATCACGGGAGCTATCTATATCTTTGTGTCCTTTAACCTATGGTCTCAGGGTGAACTCTACTTAACCTGTCTATGATTCTTCTGTTTCATCTATAAACAAGGAAATTATTAGAACGATAATATAAAGACACATTTGTAGGTGTATATAATGAAGGTCTAATGACTACTACTGCTACTTATTTTTCAGTCTATTTATTTATTTACTTCATGGAAGAGACAGAGAGAAAGCAATAGCAACGGTCTCTCCCTTACTGATCCTCATCCTGTGATCCACCCCCAGCCTCATCCAGCCAGGATTACAGTCATGATGTACCTGGTGTGTATAGGAAGCCCTTAGGACCTGAACCCTATACCTTCCCATGGGGGGTCCAGCATCATGGAGTATTGCATTGCTACTGTACCACTGTAGCTGGCCAGCAACTGCTCCTAATTAAATGAACTAATTCCATTAGTTTACCTTCTAAAATATCATTTCCCACTACTTAAAATCTGGGATTATTTGCCTTTCAAAATTTTTTCCCTATGGTTAAAAGATAACATTTTGGAAAACTTGAAAATTTGCCATTGAAATTTTAAAATAGAAAACTTTTCTTGAATCATTTTTTTCCTATCCTTAAAGCCCCTGAATCATTTTTAAAACACTCTCTTTTTTTATTTTGAATTTTTATATTCAATCACTGTATAGCTTTACAACACTGAACATGAATTTTCTCAGCGTGAAGACCCTATATGTCACGTTTGCATATTAACCTGCAATTTACTTCAATGGAAACTCTCAGGAAACTTACCAAACACATAAGATTGTCACGTTCCTGGGTTATATTCTCTGCCAGGCCAACGAGGTTTGCCAGGTACTGGTGAGCAGACATTTCATTCTCCATGGCTTTTTCCACTTGCTTTTTGAGGACATCAGTTTTCTTTTGTAATTTCCTAGAAGTCCCCCAAATAGTGGAATAAAAAAACTCATTAGCCTGCACGGCCAGGGTATAGTGACTATTACATGATAAGACTAGCAGGTATGATAGCATGAATGCTGATCTTCAGCAGTCCCAATCCTACTGCGTTTCAAGTGAGAAGAGGTAACTGAATTTCATTGCAATTAAGCATGATAATATAGACTCCAAGTTAACAGGAATCACAAAATGCCCACTTGTAGAGTCGAATTAAATACTATTCTACTAACTTTGGGGCTCATGTTCTAAAAGAGATCTTTAAAAGGGGGATTACAGGGCCAGCGGGTTGCATAGTGGTTAAGGTAGTGGACTCTCATGTGGTCAACCATGGTTTAAATCCTGGACCTGGGAGCTTGAAACTCATGCCAGGTGTGTGTGCGTACATGCCCAGAATTCTGAGAGGAGAATAGATAAGGGATTGTGGCATGCTATCCTCTTCAGAGGGTGATTTCTTACTTTCTGTCTTTCTGGTGAGTGTATGCACCCTATAGCAAAAATCTCTCAAAAAAATTAAAAGGGGAATCACAAAGAAGACTTTAGGAAGATGATTAGGAAAGAACTTCTAGAACTTACAGAGTCTTAGGGTCATCTTTTTTTTTTTTTGAGAGGTTTTTGCTATAGGGCGCGTGTGCTCGCCAGACAGACAGAGAGAGACAGAGAGCTAGAAAGCGAGAAATCACCCCCCCCCAGGGGGTATGGCCACACCACAGTCCCTTCTCCTCCATTCTCCTCTTGGTATCTTGGACACGCACGCACACGTGCCTGGCCTGAGTTTTAAGCCACCGGGTTCGGGACGCGAACCATGGTCGACTACATGGGAGTCCAGTGACATAGTCATTACGCTAACTGCTGGTCCCAGGGTCATCATATTTGTATCAACCATATTTGCACTAGTAGATGGTTGAGAAATGGTGGTTAACACTATTCAATAGAAAAATGTTTACTGTACTACAATAAGATTTCAAAAAGTATGTTGAAAAATAGAATTAAAGTATTAGTTATTTTGGTGTAAAAAATTCTGAAATCCAAACATGCATAGTTTTTTCATAATATGCTGTTCCAGGAACTTTTGATAACCTCTCGTATATTCTCTTATCCAACATTCTCAATTACCCCTTTCAATTTTATAGCCACTATAAGGAAAAATATAAATAAAATGGAATATTTTTCAGTTGTCTTTCTTTTATTTTAAAGAATTATTTTACTTAACTTTATTTATTTATTTTAATTTGACCAGAGAGGGACAGAGAGTGAGTGAGAGAGAGAGAAAGAGAGAAAGCAAGTCACCAGGTCCAGGACTTGAACCGTGATCAGCCACATGTGAGTCCAGTGCCTTTAACTGCCATGCCACCTACTGGCACCTGTCTTTCTTAGCTATTGAAAAAAAAATTGAGAGGAAAGAAAATAAACCTATTAATTTTCTGCGCCCTTTCAAGTTCAGCTTTCAGTGCTTTGTTTGTAGCTGTTAAATTGTTTGTTTCTAAAAGCAGGCTCTTTTTCTGCATTTGTAGAATGGTTAACTTTTCCATCAACTCTTCCATCTCAGCACTTTCTTTCTCTTCGTCTTTCTGTAACCAACTGAAAAACAAAAAGATGACAGGCACGTATCCAGTATACCAGTCTATAATGAAGTCATTGCCAGCCCAGTGATAAGCCCGCCAGCCCCTCGGTGGGTTACTTGGAAATCCTCTGTAGAAACACCCCCTGCTCCTAGGCCCAGGAAGCCCTGGGATCAATCTGCTGGAGGACAGGGGAGGGGGCATGGCTGATCACATACTTCTTTGACAGAAAGGAATGTATCCCTTTTTTTACCCAGTATATATGTTAAGTTATACTTTAGTCCTTACAGAAAATATCTAAGATAGCTCACATTTTTACATGGTTATAATTGCCAAGAGGGAAAAAATTCTAAAACAAAACTTATTTCATAATCACAAATATGTTTTTATAATAAAAGAAACAAAAAGAGAAGGGTGCACTTGTTTTGTTGAACACCATTTGGGTGTCATCAAATCTGCGTGGAGACTAACATGGGGTAGGAGCCGCACACTTGCGATACAGAACAGGAGCATAGAATGAAGTATGATTTTATGGTTAGTCTGTCAACTGTAACCTACAAAAATATAAAATCCAGAGTTTATTTATGTCACTGAAAACTAGTTCAATCATTATTTTATAGAATAAATGGAACTGAATTCATGAAAAGGGGTTAAAAGAGAAATGTTGAAGATACCAATACTTGCGCTTCTGGTCAAGACTGGCCCTCTAGCTAGAAACCAGGATAAACATAAGAAACAACAGTTTGCAGACTTTGGACAACAGGCAGTGTAGGACTGTGATCCCTGAGTGAAGGGAAAACAAGGCCCATTTTACAACAGCTCTGCTTTACTGCCTGGGTGCCACACATGAGGGACAACCCAAACAGAGCCCACAGACTGCTGAGCTGAGGAGTCAGAGACCAAAGATCAGGGAGGTTAAGGCGGCGAGAATTTCTAGGGCAGAGAAGGGAATTTCAACACAGAAGGGGCTCAGGAGATCTCTCAGGGTCACCGCAGATCTTTGGCTAAGTGCTAACCGGTATGTATGTGAGAAGAAGCTACCCAAGGGTGAATAGAAATGAGTAGGCAGGGCATCAGCAGATGGCATAATGGTTACATCGCTGGACTCTGACCTAGGTGACTGCAGTTTGAGTCCTGGACCTGGTGGCTTAAAGTTCAAGCCAGGTGTGTGTGCATGTGTGCCCAAACTCCTGAGAGGGGAATGGAGGAGAAGAAACTGCGGCATGGTCATCCTACAAGGGGTGATTTCTCACTTTCTGTCTCTCTGTCTCTCCAGCAAGTGCATGCACCCTATAGCAAAAATCTCTATATAAAAAAAAAGAAGAAGAAAAAAAGAAATGAGTACACAGAACAAATCCTGATGTTCACAAGGAACGGGAAATAGTACGTGGGCCCACCAGTTAGAGTGGGAGGACCTTATAAGGGACATTAGAGAGAACCCTCGAAAGAGTATAATGGCTTCACGTAGTGGCTAAGTTAGCCTCAAAAAAAAGTTAGTCTTGGCCGAACCTAATTAAAGTAAGCTTTGAAAGAATCCAACTATTCTCAAGTAACTTCAGTGTATGGTAGAAAAAGATCTAACACTATTTAAAGTGATGTTATATAGCATCCAACATTATGAAATTTACACTGCCTGGCATCCAATCGCACATGGGAATAAGCAGTCAAACATGATCCATGTAGGAGGGAGAAAGAAAATCAATAAAACAAATGCAGAAATGACACAGAGATGAGGATGGCATTGCAGTTATCATAAACATGCTCTTTATATTCAAGAAAGTAGAGAAAAATAGCTAATGAGGAAAGAAAAAATATTAAAAAAGGGCTCAAATGAATCATCTACAGATGGAGAAAACAATACGTGAAGTGAACATTAAATTGGATGGGAATAAAATAGCAGGCTAAACTGCAAAAGAAAAGACTAGTGAGCTTGGAGAAACAGCAACAGAAACTACATGATTAAAGCACAGAGAGAAATAAAAGTGAGGAAAAAGTGAACAGAAAAGTCATGCTGCATTTTTGCATAGAAAAACAGAAAAAATACATCATGACTTTTCTGATAACCCAAACAAAGCTCCTGCAAAGCAAAGGAAACTATCAAGAGAGTAAAGAGACAACCTCCAGAATGGGTAAAAACATTAACAAACTATATATCCAGTAAGGGGTTAATATTTAAACAACTCAATAGCAAGAAAACATGTAACCCTATTATAAAATACTTAAAAGACCTGAACAGACATTTCACAAAGGAAGACATACAAATGGCCAACAGGTATTTAAAAAAAAATGCACAACATCACTGATGATCAGGGAAAGGCAAATGAAAGCCATGAGCTATCACCTCACACCTGTTAGAATGCTTATTATCAAAAAGACAAATGATGGGACCAGCAAGTGGCATGGTGGTTAAGGCACTGGACACTCCCACATGGCTGACCATGGTTCGAGTCCTGGACCTGGTGGCTTGCTTTTTCACTTTCCCTCTCTCTTTCTCTGTGTCTCTCTCTGGTCAAATTAAAATAAATAAATGAATAAGTAAAAATTAAATAAAATAATTCTTTAAAAAAAAGACAAATGATAATAAGTGTAGACAGGATGTGGAAAAAGGGAATCATATACACTACTGGTGGGAGTATAAGTTAGTATAGCAATTATGGAAAACTATATGAAGCTTCCTCAAAAAGTTAAAAAACAGAACTACCATATGATCCAGAGACCCTGCTACTGAAATGTCTTTCTCTCTGAGAGGTTTTTGCTATAGGGTGCATGCACTTTACAGAAAGACAAAAAGATAGAAAGCAAGAAATCACCCCCCAGGGGGGAATGGCCACGCTGTAATCCCTTCTCCATTCTCCTTTCGGGATCTTGGGCACGCATGCACATGCGCCCGGCTTGAGTTTAAGCCACCAGGTCCAGGACTTGAACTGCGGTCGGCTACATGGGAGTTCATCGACACAGCCATTATACTAACTGCTGGTCCCCATCTACTACTGGAATTTCTAAAAGAAGTAAAATGAATATGTCAAAGAGATAGCTAAACTCCAATATTTATTGTATTGGTATTCACAAGAGCCAAAATGGATTCAACTTAAGTGAACGTGAATGAATGAATGAAGAAAGAATGCGGTATATTTACACAATGGCATACGATTTGACTGTTTTTAAAAGAGAAAAACCCTGCCATTTGGAACAACATGAATGAATCTGGAGAATATAAGTGAAATAAGCCAGATACACAAAGGAATTACCACATGATCTCACTCAGTTATAAGAGCTTAAAAATATGACCTCATAGAAGCAGGACAGAATGATAGCTACCAGAGACTTGGTGGTTAAAGGGGAGGAGAATTGGGGAGATGTTGGTCAAGGATATATCATTACAATTACATAGAAGGAATTTTTTTTTTAATGTTCAGAATAGGCACATAGACAGAGATAGAAAATAGATAAGTGATTTGCCTGGGGCCAGATAGTGGAGGGAGAATTGGGAATTACTACTAATGGTAATGGAGTTTCTCTTTCAGGTGGTAAAAATGTTCTAAAATTGATTATAGTAATGATTGCATAGCTCTGTGAAGATACTAAAAAGAAATCACTCAATTAAATACTTTAAATAGGTAAACTGTATGATATGTAAATTATATCTCAATAAAGCTGTTTTAAAAAATATTCCTTCCTCTACTGTATGAGTACACTCCAGACACTGGTTCCAGGGCCAGATGCTGATGCAGAGGTAATGCAACTGGACTCACAAGAGGGGTCCTAGGTTCACATCTTGGGACTGCCTTGTACACACTGGCACGAGTGCATGATCTAGGTGCGTTGGAGCTGGGGGTACATCACACTGTGAGGACCCTGTTTGTGACTGTCTCTCTTTCACTGAAAAAGCTAATGATTAGGCCTCTGTGTGACATGGTGGTGGCACTGGACTCCCACATGGCCAACTGTGGTTGGAGCCTTGGGTCCAGCAGCTTGAAAATTATGCCTTGTGCATGTGCATGTATGCCCAAAAATCCCAGGGGGAAGAATGGAGGAGAAGAGATTACGGCATGGTCATTCCCCTCTGAGGGGTAATTTCTCACTTTCCCTTTCACTGTCTCTCTCTCTCTCTGTGTCTCTCTCTGGTAAGCACATGTGCCCTATGGTGAAAACCTTTTTTTTAAAAAAAAAGAAAAGGTGAACAATTAAACTTAAAAATTCTTTTCAATTCCAATAACTGTAATCACTGGCAAGCACTTTCTGTAGCTCATCCGTTTCCTCACACCAACTCTATAGAGGGAAGAAGAGGAGGTGGAGAAGACCAGAAGCAAATAGGTATATTCAGTCAACTATACCATTCAAAATGTGATTTCTCTCTTTATTTAAAAGTTACCCATGCATTCATTGCGCTAACTGCTGGTCCCTTACCCATGCATTCATAATAGACCACTTGGGAATACTGGGCTGTCAGAGAACTCATGAGTATTTTTGCATAGAAAAAAGTCATGACTTTTCTGACAACCCAATATAAAAACACACAAGGAAAATCAAAATTACCCATTATAATGGTTAGTTTTACGAGTCACTCGGGCTACGGTGCCCAGTTATTTGGTCAAACGCTAGTCTAGATGTTGCTGTGAAGGTATTTTGTCAATGTGATTAACATTTAAGCAAAGGAGATCATACTACTGTGGATGGACCTCATCCTATCAGCTGATGGCCTTAAAAGCAAAGACAAGTTTACCAAGAAAGGACTTTTTTCCTCAAGATGGTAACATATTGCAGAAATCCTTCTTAGGCTTTTAAGTGGCCTGCCCAGTGGATTTTGGACTTTCCAGTCCCATAGTTGTGTAAGCCAATGACTTAAAAAAGCCTTCTTTCTCTATCTACCTACAGGTAAATATATACACATTACAGATACACTCACACATAGATACAGGCTGAGTATACCTTATTAGAAATGCTTGAGACCAGAAATGTTTTAGATTTCAAGATTTTTTTTTTTTTTTGGAATATTTACAATACACACATACTGAGATATCTTGGGGATGAGACCTAGCATAAACATGAAATTCATTTATGTCTCACATATACCTTATATACACAGAAGGTAATTTTTATACAATATTTTTGTACTGCCCCATTTTGACTGTGACTTACCATACGCAGCTAGGTGTGGAATTTTCTATTTGCAGGGGACCAAACTGGTGCTCAAAATGTTTCAGATTTGGTACGCTTAACCTGTATATCCTACGCTTAACCTGTATATCCTATTGTTTCTCTTGAGAACCCTGATTGATACACACACATGCACATAAAAGAATGATTAATTCAACCCAGTTTGCCTCAGACTTTCCCGGTTTTAACAGTAAAAGTCCCACATCCTGAGAAATCTCTCAGACCTAGGCACATTGGTATGGTTGGTCACCTTAATTAAAACACACACACATAGGGGCCAGCAGTTAGCGTAATGGCTATGTCGCTGGACTCCCATGTAGTCGACCGCAGTTTGCGTCCTGGACCCGGTAGCTTAAAACTCACGCCGGGTGCGTGTGCGTGCGTGCCCAAGATCCCGAGAGGAGAATGGAGGAGAAGGGACTGTGGTGTGGTCATCCCCCCTGGGGCGTGATTTCTTGCTGTCTATCTGTTCTGTCTGTCTGGCGAGCGCATGCACCCTATAGCAAAAACCTCTCCAAAAAAGAAAAACTAAAACAAAACAAAACAAAAAACAAAACACACACACACATAAACACACTTAAAAAAAAAACAACACTGTGATCATTCTGCACAATTAATATAGAGGGGCTGGCAGATGGCATGGTGGTTAAGGTCACTGGACTCTCGCATGGCTGTCGTTGGTTGGAGTCCCAGATCTGCAGCTTGCTTTCTCACTCTCCTTCCCCTCCCCACTCACTCATTCATCCCTCTCTGATTCAATTAAATAAATAAATAAATAAATAGTTAAATAAAATAATTATTTAAAATTAAAAAAAAAGTGTGTCCTAGTCTAGTCAGTAGTTGGCAGCAAACCAAACTGCAGTGCTGGAAGCCACATAGGCAACTAACTGCAGGCTTGTATCTCCAGAGTGGCCTGAAAACATGCTAGGTGTGTGTATGTGTTCCCAAGATCAGGATGACTGGGGGGCTGCAGTGTGAAGAGACCTGTCACACACACACACACACGCGCACGCGCGCACAC